TTTTTACTTATGGGATTAAGGTAAGAAGATAAAAATAAACAATAACGGAATAAAAATAATGAAAGGAAAAGAAGACAACAAAACAGAAGAACAGACAAAAATCAAGGAAAGGAATTGAGTCTTTGGAACAAAATCAAATATTTAAACCACAATATCTCTAGAACTCGATGTTGTAAACCTTTGATATTTCAAACTCAGATTATTTGATCTAATAGAATTCATAGGTTGAAATATTTAAGGTATGCAACATTTGGTTCCAAAGATATAGTGATTAGAAAATCAGAGTTTGTGGCGAAGATTCAATTAGTTTACACAAATAGTTCACATATTTTATGCTTAGGGAAATGTTTTTTGTCCAGCAATCTTATCAGCTTTAATTCACAATCTCAGTGACTGGCCAAATGTTTAAACTTCAAAGTGAATTCCGTCGAATTTATACTTTTTAAAATGATCGGATTCTTTTTTATGTATTCTTATTGAAAACAGTTTCTTTGCTAAATAACTAAATTTCGTAATCAAACCTAAAAATAAATCTGGATCTGATGCAGTTTTCTTTTGGTAAAAAGGAATCATAATGATTTTATTTAATATTTAATCTGCAGTGTATATTCTACCGCTAATTGAATCATTTAAATAAAGTTACACAAGATCAAATAACATTGTTTCTTAAAACTTTTCTTCGTTTCTTCGCTTTTATTTCTCTTCCTTGACTGGAAAGGGGGGGTCTGATTTAGTTTTTTCCTGGATTGGAATTTGAATGGGAATGGTAATGGGAATTGGGAAATAAGGAATGGGAATTGAAATGGGGAGGCGTGTTAAAAGGCGGTATAGAACTTACTAAGTTGTAGGTTTTTTCCAAAAAAAAATCTACTAAGATCTCTACGGTTGAATCCCCAGAACTGGATATTAGATGAAATTCAATACACCCTTCTTACTGGGGTAAGGACCAAATGGTCGGAATTGTTTTAGGGTAACCCATGGGTCCACCGGGGGTAACAAAGGCAATACAAATTTTGAATTTTTTTCTTCAAAAAATAAAAAGAATAAAATTCTTTTCTTCATAATTCCTTGGGCAACGCCGGGCACTTGTAATCAATATTATTATTAATTTATATCAGGGACAAAAGAATGAGGAGAGGAAGATGTATGAGCAGCATGAAAACCATGAGAACCCTCTCCGTTGTCCGGTCAAACTATACGAGTTCTACCTTTCTAAGGTAAAGGCAAGCTTTTAAATTTATTATACTATACAAGTCAAAACATCAGGAAAACTGAGAACATTTTTAAACCAATACTTTCCATGATAAAACTTAATTAAAATGTTTTTGTTTTTCCAGCTTCCTTGGGTAATTTCTCGATCTTCTTTTACTAAGGAACTGAACAGATGTGAGAACATAATTTTTAGAGATTTTTTTTAGAGAAAATTAAATATGAAAGTGAAAGTAAAAATATCTCAAATATATTCAACCGTTCAAAGTTACACCTCATAATTTTAATTTTCCTGGTTTGAATAATTTCAAAGATCAGATGATTGGAGTAATTATAACACTGAACAAGTTAAAAGCAAATATTTGTGAATTGAAACACTGCTGAAAACTTAAAAAATGAAAATGAATGGAAATGAGTAAATCATCCAGTTTTCTTTTAGTGTTTTTTTTTGCAAAAAAAAATCTGAAAAAATAATATCGATATGATTTGAGAAAATAATAATAATAATAATACCTTGAATGTATCTTAATTAAATAATGTTGTTAGTGTCCTGAATCTACGAAGAACAGAAATGATATGTTTTATCTTCAACCTGAGAGGAACTGTGTACCAGATAGTCCAGTCTGGTTAGTTTATTCTATTCTGCTTATTGTTTACTACCTTGTTAAATGTTTACTATGGGCTCCCCTCCCTGTAAATGTTGTTATTTCCCTATTAAAGTGTGTGTACGTGTAATTTCAATTGACCTTCCATGCAAAGGTTGCAATGCCCGATTAACAATGGTACCCACAAAACCTTAATCTGGTCAAAAATGTGGAAACGTGTTTTTATTCTGTGATTATTTAAAGAAAGAAAGTCAGTTTCTGAGAGAAACCGCAAATAAATGTAAACATGAATAAAACATGGATATTTAATTCATGAAAGGATCAGACAAACCTTTCGTTATACATATAGCATTGTCATTTTCTTTGAATGGAGGATCACCTGAATTTATGCTTACAGTCCCTAGGACTAGGTTCCCTTAAACAAAGTTAAAACTGTTTCTTCAACTTTGCCAAACTTACAACGAGGTGTTAGCGAGGCAAACTTTTTAATCCTTAAAACGGCACCATCAACTTTGTCAACACACCATTATATTATTCACAATGATACAGGGTTACCCACAATTGAATAAGGATTATAACGATTGAAAGGTTGAATTTTTTTAATATATTTTTAATTGTGAATTAAATGATTTGACAAGTAAGAAAAACAAGTAAACAATAAAGGGCATTAGAGAAAGACCTAATAAACCTCTCTTCTTATACATATTAATCTTTTTATGTAACCTGGTGTTTATNCCCGAGTCCCAGATGGATTAAGAATTGGTGAAAATAAATGGATGTCATAAGAAATTGAAGGTTTTTTAGGTAATTGTAATAAAAAGATGAAAAAAATGTTTGATGTTTTTATATTTCTTTTTATTCCGAACTGGGTTTTAATTTTAGAAATAAATACCACTGGTGAGAAACTCTAATGCACATATGTACTTTTTATTTGCTATTTACATTAATATTTGCACTCGGCACAGGAAGAGTTATTAAAACGTTGATCATAATAAATGTGCACGGTTTGGAACTTTCTTCGAATAACTACGAAATAACTACGAAATCCTAGATCAAACTAAGATTACAGAGTATCGTCGTAAATCGGACATGCCACTCTATAAATGGAAATTAACTTGAAATTATGCTTACAGCCCATTCAATGAATTGTGTTCAGGTTTTCTATGGAGAAGATGTTATCTCGACTTCTGATGGTGAGAGAAGTACAAGAACATATGCTGGCCGCTGATCAATAATTAAGAACATCTAGTGTGCACTGCTTTTAATTTTCATTCTACTGCACTGTACTCAGTTGTAGTACAGGGTACACTATGTACTGCACTAAACTCAGTACAGCAAGGTGTACTGTATCACAGAAATGAAAGACCAGTGAACATTGCTTGTCTAAGCGCGTATCTACGCTACTGTACCTTGACACATTATTAAGACGTATATGTTGCCCAAACCCAGGGAGAATGACTCCCCGTATAATCTGATCTGATAATGTACTTATGCATCAAGAATTATCGTAAACATTTTTGGGATCGACAACCCTCATTGCTTCATCTCAAATCAATTATTGATTGAACTTTAATAGTTCAGCAATCAGAAATATAAACATTTAACTAAGCTACCTATAAAACCCCTGATCAGTCGCAAAGCAATCCAGCCTTGTCAGTTGTCAAGTGTTTGTCCCAAAATGCTTCCATTTTCCTGCTTGACATTGAAAACATGGAGGCGCACAACTTAACATTATGTAAACAAAGGCAAATTAATGATAGTAACAGAAATTGTTATTACTTAAATTGTCATCTATGCATTTCATCAAACCGTTACAATAATTATGTGCAAATATAGTTATTAATCAAATTTACTGTTCTGTTTGGAGAGAAGAAATATAAAAAAATAAAAAAAATTATTAAAAATTCGGAAAAGAATAACAGATATTAAAAATAGAATCTTTGCACAGTCCTCCATATTCAAAATTTACTTCAAAGAAGTGATCAGGGGAAAAGACAGCATTTTAGAAACCTCAAGACTGGTGCTTTTACATAGACTAGGTGCAGTGCAAATCCACAAAACTAGTCCCTGCAAAATGACTTCATGAATAGACTATTATGATCATTTCATCACCAAAACCCAATTTGAAAGCCGTATCTTTGTGTGCTAGTATATATAATTATGAATTTTAAGTGGGGCCGCTGATTTGATATTTTTCGATTTGAGGCCTCCTTTTTGTGGTTAAAGAGAATAATTAGAACTTTGAGGCATTAAATAGAAAAATATCACCTCAGCGACCCCTCTTAAAATTCAAATTTATATGCTAGGGCATACGGAGGTGGCTATAAGATGGGGGTTTGGTAATGAAATGATCAAAATAACCTATTCATGTATGTCATTTTGCAAATATTTCTGCAAATATTTAGCGGGGGAGTTTTTTGGATTTGCACATTAGTCCATGTTGAGGATTCCAAAATTCTTGACCCCTGATCATTTCTTTGAAGTAAATATTGATTAGGGAGGACTGGGTTTGGGAGAAGTTAAGTTCGTATCTTGAAAGAAAAACGTTAATACTTAATTTCTGTTAACAAACTTTAACTACATATCATGTGAACCTAACTTTTCTGGCTAAACCACGTTAATTGTACTGCCTTGCAAGTATGAAAACATGTAATTGATTCTCTGAATAAACCAATATTGTTACAAACAAGGAAAAAGAGGAGAGGGGGTTTTGATGCAATGTAAAAAATTAATAATTAGACATACAGCATGAGTTTTCTCACTGTATTAATGTTTTTTGTTCCAACAATTTATTTTGTACGCGCCCTTGATATTTAGCATAAAATAGGGTGTCTTTACATATTTTTTGCGTAGGTCGAAAAATACACCACCGTTCATGCTGCAGATACAGTATTGGTGTAAACTGCCCCAAAATCAAAATTTGGGTTATATGTCGATATATCCGTGCGTTTGTGCGTTATCTTTTCTTTATGTGTGTTTTCAAT